TTTAAATTGGCTCACTACTTGACTAGCCTATAGGCCTTTTTAATGGGAACTAAACGATCGATTAAACCTCTAGTGGTGAATAGGAGAACGTCAAAAAGAGTGTTGTGAGCAGAAATTTTTGCCTTGAGACATAGGAAGCGGAACACTTTTTTACTTTTCCTGATAAATTGATTCATCTGAGATGCTCCAAAACTCCAGAAGGTCCCGAAGAAACGTGCTCAACTTTTTGGCTCAGCTCTGGTACTATCTTCGGTCCCAAGCTAATCGATGCATCCCTCGAAACATCGCAAAATCCACGAACCCCTCATTTTATCTGTCAAACTTTCATAGCGAATCAAAACAAACATAGTGTAGTACTAGAATTCAACTAGAATGGGATACGTTAATCGATTTGCCTAGGAACAATAGGCCAGTCAAGTAGTGAGCCAATTTAAAATCGATAGTTTCATATTGATTGTTGCAAATACTGGGCAGCGAGGAATCCACCTGTTATATACTTCATGCCTTTGTATTCTCTAATACACCAATGTTGTGGGAGCATATTGCGCCGTGAACCAGGTGTTTTACCTCGATATAATTTTGGAATCGATATAGAAAATACATTGAAAATCATGAAAAATCATCGTTTTCGATTTCAAAATCACTCGATCTTTGTAGAAAACATTTTAATGAACCATACCCAATTGCTTTCTGTAGTAGATAGAGTTAGTGTGGAATAGAAATGAATCTGATTGGTTCGGGAATTTTGATACAGCTCGTTGACGGCATTTTTATGACGAATTGTGGAGAGAACGGATGATCAGCAAAAACCACCAGAAGAAGGGATAGCGGCACTAGCGGACCAACAGAGGGAGCAGCAGATTCGTGGAACCATGACTGAGGCTCGAAAGCTTGGTCCGGTTACTACATCGGACCACCAGCTAAGCGGCACCCAACAAACAATTTTAGCTGCAGCTTAGCTTATACAGGCAAAAATTAGCTGCATAAGGCAAATTTTAGCTGTATAAGCTAATCTGCAGCTAAAATTGTTTGTTGGGCAGATTCGTGGAACTGTGACCGAGGCTGGCATCCTCGGTTCAGTCACGACAATGGCGCAACTCGGTAAGTGAGAACCACCCTCTTTCTTGCGAAGATGCTACTGGTGCTCCCTGAGAGGGTAGATGAAATTTCCCCGAGAGGGTAGAAGAAATTCCCCCGTGAGGGTAGAAAAATTCATCCGAGAAGGTAGAAGAAATTCCTCCGAGAGAGTAGAAGAAATTCCTCCGAGAAGGTTGAAGAAATTCCTCCGAGAAGGGAGAAGAAATTTCTCCGAGAAGGTAGAAGACATTCCTTCGAGAGAGTAGAAGAAATTCCTCCGAGAAGGTTGAAGAAATTCCTCCGAGATGGGAGAAGAAATTTCTCCGAGAATATAGAAGACATTCCTCTGAGAGAGTAGAAGAAATTTTTCCGAGAAGTTAGAAGAAACTCCTCCGAAAGAGTAGAGACACTCCTCCGAGAGGGTAGAAGAAATTCCTCCGAGAAGCTAGAAGAAATTCCTCCGAGAAGCTAGAAGAAATTCCTCCGAGAAGCTAGAAGAAATTGCTCAGAGAGAGTAGGGGATATTCCTACCAAAGAGTAGAAGAAATTCCTCCGACAAGGTAGAAGAAATTTCTCCGAAAGAGTAGAAGAAATTCCTCCGAGAGAGTAGAAGCAACAATCAATACGAAACTAACGATTTTAAATTGGCTCACCACTTTAGTAGCCTATTGGTCCCAAGCAAACGATTAACGTACCCTATTCTAGTTGAAATTCTATTACTACACTATGTTTGTTTTGATTCGCTATGAAAGTTTGACAGATAACATCAGGGGTGTGTGGATTCATGCAGAACATGCAGGGGTGAGTGAAATAGCTTGGGACTGCTTGGGACCGTTGTTCTGGTACTGAGTGAGCCAAAAATAATAATGATTTTCTTCTGGACCTACTAGTCTTAGAGTTACCTCTATGGTATTACTCCATCCCTGTTGAGAAATGATGAAGTATTCGATTTTTTTTACAGTTGTCATTCCTGCATTTACCGCAAGGATCCGACTCTTATTGAAAGGTCGCGCTATTTATACCGTTTGGAGTGTGGAAACACCCTCCAAAGGCGCGCCTCTTTGTCAGTCAAAATTGGATTCCTTAGCAACAAAATTAAACAATGGCACAGATAATGGCTAAAGCCCTACAGTGATAGCACAAACGAAGTGACAGACGGAGCGGCTCGAAAACTTTGGTGACGCACCTGCTATTGCAATTTTTCAGTGTACCACATGGCAACACCACTAATACTGGATTGTACCACATGGCAACACTACTAATGGGTTGTACCACATGGCAACACTAAATGTACTAGAATGTTTTGGTTCTATCTCTTTCACTCTACTCTAAACTGAAATGCATAAAAAAAATCACAAAATGATACACTCTTTGCACACTGTCAAAGATCATATTGCACACAAAATCAACTATGTTCAAATCTAGCTAGCAAATACTAGCCCATCTGGTGGCTGATGGCATAAGCTTCTAAGAAAATTCTATTACAGCGAACCACATTATTTAAATTGATTTCTTCGCCAGTTAGTCGTCTGTCACTTCGTTTGTGGTGATAGTATGGACGTCTGTAAAAAGTTGTTCCAATCGAACCGTCAAAATGCACCACTTTGCTCGATTGGAACAGATTTTTTGAGTTTTGTGGTGACAATCGTCCACACTTTAACCAACAATCAATACGAAACTAACGATTTCAAATTGGCACACTACTTGACTAGCCTATTGGTCCCAAGCAAATCGACTAACGTACCCCATTCTAGTATAAATTCCAGTTCTATTCACTGTTTTTTTGATTCGCTATGAAAGTTTGACAGATAAAATGAGGGGTTAGTGAATTTTCCTATGTTTCGAGGGGTGAATCGATTAGCTTGGGACCTAAGATAGTACCAGAGCTGAGCCAAAAAGTTGAGCACGTTTCTTCTGGACCTTCTAGTCTTACAGTTACCTATATGCTGGAACTGCTTCCGTGTTGAGTGATTAACATTTGATAAGGGCGTATTTTATAAAGAAAATCGTTAATATAGCGCGATCTTTACAAAATAAAGTTCCATTGTTCCGCAAAATTGTTTATTTTTGCACTTGTTTGGATATGACTTTCACGAGAAATTTGAAACAAAAGAATTAAAGCTGATAAATTTTTTTTTAATGTACAACCTTATTGCACTCTGGAGCATTACTCTATAATGATTGATAAAATGTTTCTTCAACAAAGTTGCTTGAAATTAACTCAGCTACAACTTTGCTCAATTTCATGTGTTTTTATTTTCAAAAATAAGAAAGTTATTTTTTAAATATCAATGGATTAAAAGCACGGTTGATTTTTGCAAGAGATGTCGCTAGTACGCTAATTTATTTTATACGTAGAAAAACCGAAAATGTTGATTTTAATGAAATATGGACCTTTTCGGAAGAAAATATTGGGAACAGGGGCTGGCAATTTTTTTACGCAACACCAATACCAAATAGTTCTTCTGTTGTCGCTTCGATCCCCTAGTTTGAAGTAGTCAGGACTAGGAATCGGTGGTAGATCAAATCTCTATACATTATTTTTACGGTTAACTTTTTGCCCTTAGGAAAGTGGCACCATGCTGCCAGTAATTGTGAGATCAAAACTGACAGCATACAGTGATCCATTATTTTGCGGACCATTCTAATATTTATAACCATCAAAAGAAGGGACTTTTTAAGCACAACAAATTCACCTAGTATTAGGAACACATTCCTGCTTAATGCCCTTCCTGGGCCACTGTGAAATGGTATGTATTACCAGCCATAATATAATGTTCTGAACTTTATTCTTAAAAAAGATTCTATGGCTTGGAAACAATATCAAAAACAGTAAATTTTCAAAGTAACAGGATTAAGAAAGAAAAAAAAAAATATAAAAAATGGCATTGTTTTATTTGTCAAGATTTTAACTAAGATACATATTTATTTTATTAATATTCAGGCTAACACAATTTATTAATTAAAACCCCAAGGAGCATTGTTGGCTCTGGTGGTGTTCCAGAACATAATTACAAACTCATAATCCATCTCCATTAGGCTACCACGAACCTATCACATTAAATCTGTTTACTCATCACAGTTGCAAGAAGAATCTACTTCTTTGCGAACGTGCGGCACTCGTGCCCCATATATCCACACACAGCATGAAAAACAAGATAACACTCCTCTCCCTCTCGGCTCTGAATGCCCTTGGATGGAATCCCGCCGGGATTCGTCAAACTGCATTTCATTGATAGTGAAAAGAGGGAATTATGTGATAAGTATCGGGAGTAATTTACCTTTACAACCTCTACCCTAGGTACTACACGGTCGAGTTCGGGCCACATACGCTGTGTGGCAACGTGCAACCGTTGCTATCATCCTATTTTCGCTCCATGATCCGTGCCAATTGATACCGCTCCTCGATGATGTTGTCGTCGTCGTCGTTGGTTTATTATCGTTCGCAAACGCGGGGTAGGGTTAATTAGTTTGAAGAAGTACTAATCAAGTACCTAGCAGGTAGATCGGGGTGCCTTGGTAGCTATAACCGCGCGCAAGTATGTAGATTAGATGCTGTTAGAAGACCGACCTCGAAAGGAAAGTGAGTTGTTCAAGGGCACGCACTACCCGGCTGCAGGTGGGGATCTTTGATGTATAAAAGCCTCTGGAGTCGGGGACATGAATCACAAACCATCTGTGAACATTGATAACGTAGGGTACGCAGCAGCTGTCCCGGGTTGAGTGATAAGAACGAAGCATTAGAGAGTGTCAATTTGGTGGTCATGAGGACTTTGATTGAAGTGCAAACATTGTAGAAAAAGTGTTATCCTGCGTGATAATTGAAAAGTACTTGAAAAGTGATTCGCTTTAGTGCAAGTGAGTTTAGGGAGCTGTTGATCCAGCAGCGATTGTTTGAGTAGTGTAATCCCTCTAGACCAACCATGATTCCCCGAGGCTGTGACACGTTGACGGTCCTTCTGTTGCTGATGGCTGCGGTTGCGGTTGGCCTAGCCGATGACAGTGGGGGTCCAAGTCCGAGTGCACCGAACAAGCTAGACGATTACGTGCTCACCACCCAGTCCGAGTGTTACAAATCGAAACGGTTGGTGTCGTGCTTCAAGTATCGAATCTCGCGATATATTTGGTCGTTCGCTTCCGGTCGTATGAATTGGCTGCTGCCGGAGAATAACGCCTACGAGGGAGGCAATGGATTACGGCTGGTGCGGCTCAACGAACCACAAGAAGATGATGTATTCCCCGAGGCGCGACAGATTTCACGTGAGTTGGGGTGGGATTAATACACACAGTTGGATATGGCGCTAATTAGGACAAGTGCTATTATCGTGTGCCATTAGGACAAGTGCTATTATCGTGTGCGTTTTGCCATAGAAACCATAATTCATGATTATAGCGTTTGTGGTGAAAACATGTATGGAATGTTAAAGTGTTTTACATTTAGCATCAGTTCCAGGAATCGATGTGATGTTAATGCCATCAATTACGTGAATAAACACCAGTGGATGGGCTTAATCTCTGTTTATGGATTAAATTTTAATTAGAATTAAAATATGTTGTGCGTGTGGTTTGTATTGGTGACATTGTCATCAGTTTATAAATATTTAATAGATATATGGTCGGGTCCACGGGGGCAACAATCACGAATTTCGGTGGAGCCCACATCATTGTGATGAATATAGTGGGTGAGGATGACTACAACAGACTGCTCTTTCTAGCATTCAGCACTGCGATGCAATTTTGAAAGAGTAAGCTGTTTTGTTCTGTCGTACCTCCGTCAGTTTTACCGCTGTCAGTATGCCCAAAAGTGTCAGATTGTCCAAAAATGTCAAAATCATGTGAGCTATGGTGCATCTATATGTGGTTGACAGGGATAGGGTCCCCCTGATCGGGGCCGTCAAAAGCTAACTCCTTGTTCTGGTAAAAACTAAGGAAATTCTACAAGAACTTACAACTTGTAAACCAATGTTTTTCACATGAGAATTACAAGCTTTGGTCCTTGTAGTTTCATTATCCTTCCCACCCCAGGGATGCCAAACTTGAAGACATGTCTTTATTTTGAAGACATTTGGAATTCTGTGAAAATATATTTTTGCATCGTCAAAATTTCAAAACATCTATAATCTTCTTCAAACATACGGAGGACCCTCATAATTTTGCACCAATATTCCTGATCATTTGGGTAGGTCGCTGAAATTAAACGAAATTTTCCTAAGCTTCCAAAAAGTTCAGAAAGCTTAAGATCCTTCGAGGAAGTTCAGAAAGAGTATGATCTCTGAAAAACTGATACGAAGTTCCCTGAAGCCATAAGAAGTTATCTGAACTATACCAAAAATTACTGAGCTATGAAGTTTACTGAGTCATACTGAGATCAATATGAATAACTACTTCAAAGTTAGATGAACTTCCACGAAGTTTATTGAACTTGAATCTCCCTGAAGTAGTACATTTAAATGTAACGAAATCCTCTAAAAAGGGTATCTGAACATCTGTGAGGTTTCGTGAAATTAAATTATATCTCTTGAAGCTTTCTAGACCTGTAAGAAGGTTCCACTTCTTCGCAGTATATTTTGAGACATTCAGCCGTGAGCATTTTTTTTTTAAATTCCTGAATATCTACTAAGTTCTTTGAAGCACTACGAAGTTTCCAGAATATCTACTAAGTTTTCTGAATATCTATTATGTTCCCTGAATTTCTACGATGTCCCTTTCATGAAATTCCCTGAAGTTAAATAAAAATCCCTGATCTTCAACAAAGTTCTTTGATTTTTTTGCAAAATTCACTAAAGCCCTTTAAAATTTGCTTTTACAGCAAAGTCTTTTTGAGCGTGTTGATTTATTTCCTTTTAATTTTGTTTTTGCTTATCTATTGACAGATACGCGTATTTCGTCTACTACTTGCAGACTTCATCAGTGCCAACACCACTGAAGATTCCATATTTTATCAACGACTTACATACTAATCATTAGGTACTATAAATCAGCAGATATCCAACTGATTCGTCACATGGTACCTAAATTTAGTATCCCACAGGTAAATGCATGTTACGATGTGTTGTTTTAGGTAGCATTCTAAAGAGTCTCGAGTATCCGTTCCCTTGATCTCTATTAAGCAATGTTGATTAAATATTTCTAAACTTAGAAGTTGTGGCCTAGATTTAGTATTCAGCAGCAGGACAAATCAGCTGAAATCATTGTTAGGATCAACAAAAGATTCAATAAATATCTTAGGAAAAGCCGGTGTCTACCTGTGGGAGACTAAATTTAGGTACCAACCAAACTGGTTAGGTAAATGTGACATGTCACTTGAATACCTGCTGATTTATAGTACCTATTGATTAATAAATCAGTCGTAGAAAAAATATGGATTCTTCAGTGGTGTTCAGTACTTGGCACTGATGAAGTCTGCAAGTAGTAGACGGAATACGCGTATCTGTCAAAAGATTATCAATTTTAACGGAATTAAAAGGAAATAAATCAACACACTCAAAAAGCTCTTCATAAAGGGATTCCGTTAAGAGGATCGACAAAATTAAAAAAGATTGAACTTTTACTGTTTTATTGAACTTCTTAGCTTAGGAGTTCACTGAATTTCTACAAATTTAGCAGAATTTCTATAAAGTTCACTGAGCATGAACGAAGTTTTTTTTTAATTTTTATAAAGTTCAATAGACTTCTACAAAGTTTGATAAACTTCTTCAGAATTTACTGCACTTCAAGAAAGTTTCCTGAACTTTAACAGAAACGAAGCTTTTGCGACAAGTCCAACGTGATCTTGTGCTGCAACTTTGGCACCCGGAACATTTTTGTCGGCAGTTTCCTGGCCACACAATTAAAACAACTACTTAAACCTTAGTAAACCAGCTAGATCTAGCTCATTAAGCCACATACCAGATTGTATGTTTTAATTCCTTCACTTTAAATAAAACTTGACATAATTGTTGTCGTATTATTGTTTTCAATCACGATTATTTTTTTGACAAATTATATTTTCAGTCGACTTAGAAGGGGGCGGGGGTAGTAAAACCTTCTATACTTGAGTAGCAGATGTTGCTAGTGAATACACGGCTGCTCAATCTCACTCAGCATCTCTGTCATCTCTGTCATCTGAGTAGAAGTTACTCTCTTTCTCTCTATCTCTGAGTGAGATTGAACGGCCGTGTCGGCCACTGAGGTTCATCAATATTGAATTGTTTTACTCTTCTTCCATTGAATCCTGCTCGAGCCCCCATGACTTTAATAAACTTAGTTTACATTCTTGTTTAGCCAGAGAATGTTCTATTGGGAATGTAATGAAACCCAGCTGAGTCATCCAAACTGTGCAGGTTTCTCCCGTTCAGTTTTCAATTAATAACATTGTGTAACACGATTTATCTAGGACATTATTAGACATTCTCCTGTCCTGTCTCTTGAGTTGAAGTATACAGTGCTGGCCTAAACGTCCCAAATTTGGGCCCATAAATACATTCAGCAATCAACTAAATTTTCAATAGTGACCAAAAATATCCATTAGTACCGTCCCAATGACGCGTTCATCTAGACAAAATTGATAAATAGCAGATTTTTAGCGATGGGTAATTTTTCAAAATGATGGCAACCAGTTTCATAATTTGACGGTTGATTTTATAATTGTTTATTTATTACTAGTTGAAACTTCCCTATATAAATATGGGAACTATTATATAATACTACAGAGGGCAGTAATGCTTCATCATAATTGTCAGGTGATTCTGGCACCTTAACTCTATCCCAAGTCGTAGAAAAGTCCAAGGCGTTTCAGGGACGAATGACCGTTTAAGGTTAAAGTCCCGTTAAAACAAAGACAAGACAAGACAAGAAAAGTCCAAATTAATGGCTTCCCAACTAACAATTTTCACAATGTGAACGCATTACGCATTACTCATTACTGTATAAGCCTCAAGCTGCATTCAAACGTTATACGATATGAGGCAGTCTTTACCTCTATACAAGCAAATCTGACAAACTTAGTCAGCTACTTATGGCGGTTGAGACGATTGGGACAAGTTCTTATTGCATATCCATTTACGCTTCAAAACAGTTATCCTGCTGTTTAGTTGTGTGCGAACTTGAAAGGCGCTTATTCAACCTTTTTCCGGTTATCCAATAATCACTACATAGCTTTCTCTTGAAGCCGGGTTAAATATTATTTTGTTGGAAGAATTTGTTTTGCTGTGAAATCAAGTTAATCGAAATTAGTGATAAGCACACCACCCGGGCTGGAAAGTGCCTCAGAGCGTTAGCAATGCAACTTTTTTTTATTTATTTATTTCGTCAACCAACGTAGACTAGTACATATTCGAAAACAGTTTTGTTTTCTTAAATTTATTTATTTATTTCGTCTTTAATAAAAATTGAGCAGTGTCAGCTTTTCTATTTTTTTTATGAGTTCTAATGCCTGGTTATTTCTGACAGACAAGAAGTTAAATTTTGACAACCGTGGCTCGAAAAACGGTCGATCGACAGTATGGGGATTTTCGAACATAGAAAATAACTTTCGAAATGTCACTTTTAACCACGAGTTAAATTCAACTCAGCAAATGGTTCACAGCCTTAAGCAAACCCCACACGCATCAATATATTGACGCGAAGGGGAATTATTGACAATAATATTGATGATGTGAATTCAGAAATATTGTCAATCTCGATATATTGACGTCAATATAGCATATATTGACAATACGATTATTGTCAATAAAAGCAATCGTGTAGGGTTCACTTTAGTGGTTAATTCTGGGTGTGTGTCTCTCTACTCTTCTACGCTGCACTTACGCAGGGTGAAAGGCACAATAGTGCACATGAATTACTTTTCTCGACTAGTTACTTAAAGCTTTGTGAAGGAGCAGAGTAAAAGTTATTGACTGAAAAATGCTTCCAAAGTAGCGTTAATACAGTTTATTAGCTGAGTACAGGTTGTTTAGATGTTGAAAAAGCACTTTTGAGGTTTATGTTATTCAGCAAGCGTGGTTGGTTGCGTTGAAGCCATCAAATGAGTAATATATTCATTTAATTAACTTTGTTTTGCAGTTACAAGTTGAAAGTTAGCGTTAATTGGCTGCTGTTATTCAGTGCGACTGACAAATGGTTGTGAACAAGTTGAGTAAACGCTCTCCAAAATTATTTTGCTTGCTTCTGCTTGTAGCTGTGTTTGCAGCTGGAAAAGTTGGCTTATATAGCTGAAAATGTTAGTTGGGTCGTTCACTGAACTTGTGTAATACAGTGCACATTGTGGACATGAAATCTCA